ATATTATTTTTACCATTAGTCTTCGTGTTATCTTTCTTATCGTCTATGTTCCTATTACTGTTTTTCTAAACGGTCATTTAGCTCGTGCACTCAACATTTAAACGCTACATAGTGGTACAATGTCTGTTTAACCTATTTAAATGACCACTATACCTGTTTAAGTGATCGTTTTGTTTGAGGCTAAACGACGAGTGATTGATTATTTGCTATTTAACGTTTTGGATCTAGGGCTAATTAATTTTGCCCCCGTTTTACTACTTGTTATTACCATGATTCTTTTTCTGGGGCCAAAGAATTGGACCGATCAGGTGGAAGGTTAGAGACCGGAAGCTAATTAAATATGTTGCTTCGTTTTTTTTAGTTTTTTTAGCTGCTTTTTATCGTAACACAATTGTTTATTTGGATGCTACATATATCCATATATCTTTGTCATGTATGTATTTTGACACACATGATTGTTGCTGGTTTTGCACGGCCCCTTCTATGTTCAAATCCAGGCTCCGCCCCTGCTGGGCAAGCTTCTCGTAGCTTGCGCTGGCAGGGCAAGGCAAGGTCAGGCGTGTTGCCTCTGGGAACCAAACGCGCCCCAAGAAAATACCAAACCATTTGGCAAGCACATGGGATGATCTTCTGTTGATGCATACGTATGCATTTATAATTATAATCCCTCAATTATAATGGACGGCCACGGATGATTGCCGTGTCTCACACTGCTGTGTATGAGGTGTTTAGACTTTAGAGCTTGATAGTCAATAGACTAGGTCCATGTCATGTTACGTTCGAGGACGCGGCCATGCATGAACTGGCCTTTCCCAACGCCGTTTATGTTGTTCATTTGTTTTGTATTGACCTGTTCACTCGTCGCTGTTGTCAACGCCTCAAATCATGGCGTGCATTTCTTTACGGAGGAATTGTGTTGAGACTTGAGAGGGAAGTTAGAACATGCATGTGAGACTTGAGTGCGTAAACACAGGTTGTCCAACCTACAGCGTACTCAACTACACGTAGGGCCGGCACCTCTATAAATACGGGGAGATGCAACAAGAAGCCAACCCCAACATTCTGCCCTTAGTCACTTGATAAGTAGGAGTACAGCACATATACTTGCCCTGCCATACATTCTATCCTTGTGTGCATATATAATATGGGTCGATCCATGACGATTCAGTATTGTGCAGTTCTGTTACTGCCTGTGGCCCTCCTGGTCCTCGCAGGTAGCTCACCGGTGCTGGCTCAGCTGGAGCTCGGCTACTACAGCAAGACATGCCCGAACGTCGAGGCGATCGTCCGCAAGGAGATGGAGAAGATCATCTCGGCTGCACCCAGCCTTGCTGGCCCGCTCCTCAGGCTTCATTTCCACGACTGCTTCGTCAGGGTAAGTATTCTTTTCTGAGTGACGTTTCCCTTCCAATTATGACAACGTGGGACTCTTTTTTTAAGGGCTAGTTTGGTTGTCGAAATTTTTGGTAAAACGACACTGTAGTGTTTTCGTTGTTATTTAACAATTAGTGTCCAATCATAGTCTAATTAGGCTTAAAAAATTCGTCTCGTGGATTTCATCTAAACTGTGTAATTAGTTTTATTTTTTATTTATATTTAATGCTTCGTACATGTGTCTAAAGATTCGATGTGACGGGGAATCTTGAAAAATTTAATATTTTGGGAGGAAACTAAACAGGGCCTAAGTTATAACAACGTCGATTCACTGCAGGGTTGTGACGCGTCTGTGCTGCTCAACTCCACTACTGCGGCCAACCTGGCAGAGAGGGACGCCATTCCGAACAGGAGCCTGCGAGGCTTTGGTTCCGTAGAGAGAGTGAAGGCCAAGCTGGAAGCTGCCTGCCCCAACACGGTTTCCTGCGCCGACGTCCTCACCCTCATGGCCCGCGACGCCGTTGTGCTGACCAAGGGCCCCTTCTGGCCGGTGGCGCTCGGGAGGCGAGACGGTAGGGTGTCCAGTGCAAATGAGGCGGCCGACCAGCTGCCTCCGGCATACGGAGACATACCACTGCTCACCAAAATTTTTGCCTCGAAAGGTCTCGATACCAAGGACCTAGTTGTCCTATCCGGCGGCCACACCCTCGGCACGGCGCACTGCCGGTCTTACGCCGGCCGGCTCTACAACTTCAGCAGCGCTTACAGTTCAGACCCATCCCTCGACAGCGAGTACGCCGACCGGCTCAGGACGCTCTGCAGCAGCGTCGACGACAAGACCACGCTTACCGAGATGGACCCCGGCAGCTACAAGACCTTCGACACGAGCTACTTCCGCCACGTCGCCAAGCGGAGGGGGCTCTTCCAGTCCGACGCCGCGCTCCTCACTGACGCCGCAAGTAGGGACTACGTCCAGCGCATCGCCACCGGCAAGTTTGACGACGTGTTCTTTAAGGAATTTAGCGAGTCCATGATCAAGATGGGCAACGTCGGCGTGATCACCGGTGCTGACGGGGAAATCAGGAAGAAATGCTACATCGTCAACTAAAGAATTATCGGCTACTAGAATCTATGATTTAAAAAAAAAAAGTAAACTGCACACGATAGTAGGGCGCGGGGGCGCATATGTATCTGTAATCATTTTGATGTATTAATTATTGTTGTAAATTCATTCCATGGTGGTAGATATATTAAAGCACACATTATTATATATTGTGGTAATGTATATATATTTTTCAACCTTTAAGTTGCACTAAAGTTAGATTTTCTAACACTGAACTACAAAATTCGGGTAAAGAACACCCTCCAACCGTTGAAACACTACTATAGAACATACAATCAGCGTTGAACGTCCAAACCATCAGTGTTGGCTATGCTAGAGCTATCAGTGATCATACTTCACACTTCACTGTCAGGTTGTATGCCAAGGATCAGAACAATGAATATATGAACCTTATTCACCCTATCACTGTCGCCTTGACCCACAACAGGAAAGTAATATAGCACTGTGGGTTGCACAAGAACCAGTTCTGATTTAATCCTCAATCCATAATTGATTGCTGAGGGGTGTGTGGGTCGGGTTAAAAACTCCTAGCTTCCCTCGGTGGTGTCCTTTATCAAGTAGCTCTATCGTCATGCTCCTCCTCCTTGTCGCCCGCCGCCTCACAAGCGGAGGTCATCCTCCATCTAGGGAGACGATGGTGGACTGTTTTCGCTTGAGCCTGCGTCGCCGTCACTCTTTCAAACTTGCAGTAGTTGCTTGAGGAGTCATTGACTCATTGTCCAACACAACTTGGAGCCAGTCATTGTTGGAGAGGTGCTTTGGTGTGTAGGACTATGGAGTGGAGAAAGAAGATTGCAGATTGCTCCTATTTGTACTGAACTGTGAGCACCTCTTCAGTTTCCCGGTCAATGTGATGAATGGTTGCGATATACGAGGCAAGTACGGACGACGGTCGTGATGCCTAACGCCTGCATATGAGCAGCAGTCAAAGAAAAGTCTCTATTTCCCCGGCCGGCCCAGAAGACCCCAACAACGATCGCAACTGGTGCCCACAATGCAGCCCTATTTAACCATCGGTTCATTTTATGATTCGTTAGTAAAAACAATTTTCATTGTCGGGTAGAGCAATGAATTGTCATCCGGTGCTGACATTTTCTTTCTCAGCTGGTCCATTACAAACTGGTGGACAGGCTGTTCCGGCCTAACGATGTAACCTATAGTCACAGTCGGCTTGGTGTATGATCCGGTGGTGAAATGGACCCCAATTATCGCAGTCGGATCAAAACCCAGCCGGTAGTGATACACATAACATCGCCGGTTCATTTTGCCTCATAGAACCGGTGGTGAAACACATTCGCCTCCGGTTATATAAAAAACAGCGGTGATAAGGGCATGGGATGCCCATTTATATCGTAGTGTATGTACTAGTAAAGTAAAATCAGCGGTGAGAGCATCTCCAATAGTTTCTAAAAAATTAGTTGGTAAATCAGTGAGCTTTAGAAGTGGCAAAAAAGTTGGGAGCATATTTGTTGGTTTCCTCCAACAGTTCAAAACATCGCTCCTAAAATATAGAAGACAAATTTGCATGATGAAGCCTAAACGATTTCTAAATCACCCCAACCATCTTTATACTTTGTTTCTCTCTTGTACAACTCTGTCTTACTCTTTATTCTTTTCACATACCCTTCCACCGTCAGATTGGCACATCGACAACCACGTGTATATTTCGGTGCGATTGGATCAATTTTTGCCAGTGCGGAAAGATTGGGAGTTGAAGTAGGACCTGTTGGAGAGCAGTTTTTTTAATCTTGCAAAAAAATCTAGATTAGGAGTGGGTTTTGGAAACTCTTGGAGATGCTCTGAGAAGGGACCTGAGGTATTACTCATTTGGAATGCATAACTGTTGGGAACTAATCAATTGGCGATGGAGTTTTTATCCTTTTATAGTTTTATAAGTAAATTTTTCCAGTTAATTACTTTACACTAATAACTTGCATGATATTAGAGGATAATACTTATGCTAATTTATGGGGTACTTTGGTGGTTCTTTCCATGATAATAGAGTTAAGAAATATATATAAGCAAATTAGATCAAATTGCTGTTGTCATCGATGATGATTAGAGTGTACTAGAATTATGAATGGTTTTACATTGAACTTTTAGAATTTGTACATTTTTTTCTATTGCGTCTTGTAAAGAATAACGTAAAGCTAAGGTTTGAAAATAGTCTCTACTTAGCATTTAGTAAGATAAGACTTATATCTGTAAAAATAATTAAACTGACAAAATGAGACATCATTGTAATTTGTTGAGTATTTCAAACTCATAAGATATTCAAATATCGTTCAAATAGAAACTATCAGTATTTTGATAAGCAAATAATATTCCAAACATATGTGGATGTGGTAACGTACATTATGGAGTTTAAGTTCGTGTGTAACCTTTCCAAAGCAAACGAAAGCTATTTTTTGAATGAGACCATACAAATTTTAATTGGGAAAAAGCTCCATGTAAATATATAAAAAGAAAAAAAACACAAGGCTTGTGAATTGTGACACTAAAGTCAACAAGCGCCGGTGCGGAAGCCAACCCGTGATGCTGGCAGGTCGTAGAGCACCTCGATGGTTCGCTGGTTCAGGCTGCCGATGAGGCCAGTGTATTCGTCTCCATCCGTGTTCCAGAACGCGAGGCAACCATCGAGCAGGAGCCCGGACGAGGCGTCGAGGTCGACGGTGGCCCCACCCCGGAACGTCAGCGACACGGTGGGCACCGTGACGTTGTTGTACCCCGTGAGGTTGTAGCAGGTGTCGAGCTGGGCGGTCGGCGGCGCGAGAGGGTACTCCGCCATGGCGCTCCGGAACGCGGTCCTCAGTGCCGCGTATGCCGTGTCCTGAAGCGCCGTGATGGTCGTGCTCGAAGCCAAGATCATTCCCTCCCGGAACACCGCGGCTGGTATGTCCAGCCGCTGCCCGCCGACGCTGATGCCGGTGAGCATCAGCTGGTAGAACCACGGCTGGTCGTCCATGGTGAGCAGCGGCGTGAAGACGAAGTCGGATGTGTTCTCCGGCGCCCCGAAGGCCAGGAACCCCGTGGAGTCCCCCGTCGGCGGGAGGCAGAGCGAGAAGGCGCCACCGTGCTCCGCTAACGTCTGCCCCACAAGGGACTCCGGCAGGCGGCCCAGGGCGAGCACGCCGTCGTACTTGCCTTCGTTGCCGAAAGGGCCTTCTTGGTCGTGACCGCAGCCGAAGTGGAAGTTCTCGACGACGGCTCCCGGACCAAGTGTCAGCGCGTCGCTGCTGTACACACCGGTCGTGTTGGCGCCGCTGCCATAGTAGATATAGAACCCGCATTCCCAGTTGCTGGTGCAGCCATTGCCACCGATGCCAGCAGCCAGGTCCCTGCACTCCTGTGAGTCACAGGGGATAGCGGTGTAGGTAGAAGACCTGCTCGGATCAAATGGAGGGAGCTTCTGGGGGTAGCAGTTGCTGGAGTTGCACGGCTTGCACTGCACCCACGACAGGTCGCTTTCGGTGGTCAGTACAAGGGTCTGCGGGACTGCTGGCGTGCCCAGGCCCACGGTGACAAGGTACTTCTGCGAGTCATAGGACGAGCCCAGCCGTGTCGGGACGCTCACAGTTGAAGCGTCACTGCTCTGCCGTCTGGTGCTCCTGGACATTCTCCTTGTAATGTACTTGGTGCGCACACGATCTCGGTGAAGCCGTTGCGCGAGAGACAACTCGTCTTTGGTCTGCAATGGCGCGCACGGCCCGTACCGATGCGCCAGTGGCACGGACACACGCCCTGACTGTGGAGACGACACTGCAAACATGGAGAGGTTTTGGATTAGTATTCATCGAGGATCCGGCTTTGTTCGTCATGGGAATCACAGTAGATCTGATGAGATACCCCTCGATGTCGAACATGATTCTTCTGATGACTGAAATGCTGCTTTTGGCACCACCACATATCTGCTTTCCTTGTGGCCTGCTGCTGCTTCATTTGCTTGGGCAATGCCACCGTGACTGCATATGACGAGTAGGAGCAGAGAGAGGAGAAAAGCAGACGCCATGGTAAGAGATGACTGAGATACAATGTTCCATCCACTACGGAGTGTGTTAAATAAGGGATGCACTCGATTTGTTTTTTGAATAGCGAACAATACGAGGATCAGCGGACTTGGTCTGAGGTTGCGTAGGACTAGTTCAATATATTCTCGTTCAGATGTCTTCTATTTTTTGATTTGTCTCGATATCTATGCACAAAATCTAAGCTGGTATTAACTTTGTTCCACTATCTAAAAAAAAAATCTATGCACACAATCTCTCGAGGCTGCCAAGTGCTATGTTAGTTTGTGACTACAGCAACGCTGCCTATGCCTAAAGATCTGATGTGTTAATACTCGTAGTAATATATTTATATATTTGGGAACATATATAAGGCCTTACGTTCATGTCTCTGTACTTCCGTCCAGAATCTCGATTATAATCTGGTAACAATGATGATTTGCTTCCACAGATGAGGATGCAAAGATAGTTCATTAGTATTTATCAAGATTGAAGAATGAGTCAAGAATGCATAAGTACGAAAATGGCAAGAAAGGCTGGCAATGACAAAAGAAGGTATGGATTAATAAGTATTAATTGGTCTTGTATCTGAGGCTTGTTTAGGTTGTGGGATATATACAAATTGGAATGGCATAATTGACAAATGCAAGATGGCAAGGACAAATGAAAAGACAGAAAGTGACATGATTAGTTGCATATGGGTTGGTTTCACACATGTATTGCTTGCCAATTACATCAAGAATATTGATAATGAATTTTGTATTGATCAAAATAAAAGTGGATTTCGATTGAAGGCATATTGTTCATACAAACAAGGCTTGACTTGAGAATGGCTAGATAAGATGAAGGTAGCAAGAAAATGGCTGCGAGGGACTAAGCGAAGGTGAAGGGAAAGCGACGGCTTAGTAATTAAGGTACGATGGCTAAGGTGAGGAAGCAAGTACTTGTGTTGATCTGAGGAACTAAGCAAGTCATGATAAGTGATCTAATACCAGGTATAAAATCATTGTTGGATCAATAGTTAGAGTAACATGAAGCCATGCATTGAACTATTATGTGTTGAAATAGTTCAAGTCACAAACTCAAGGAGGATTTGCTCAAGAATTGAGATAAAGTTGGTTGTGACCCTTGTGAAGTGTTATGATATGATACCCCTAGTTATGCGCAGAAACCAACTGTAAATTCTATAAGCACAACTCCGACAAAGTACAAGTGATTGTCTCTCTTTCAGAACCATACTTGTCCCTCTAGGACTATATGATTTTTGACCTATACAAGAATGTAGTGCAATAAAATTGTCTAGCCTAATCATCTTGAGCACTCATAATTGCTCTTTACAAGCCTTGAATGAGACCCTTGTGTTGGCTTGGTTGATTCCTATGGCCTCGACCCACTTCTTTATATAGTCCCCTCCAAGGCCTCCATACATTCAATTAGGAATCTTATGCTTGGTAGTATTATTATTCAAATTATAAATGAATTAGAAGTTCTAAAACACACTTCCACTACTACAGATTGACTTTTCCCTGTCGTCACTTTCACTGCCATAGCGATAAAAGCATCGGTGTGATACTTCCACCCTCGGTTGGACCGATAGGGAGGCCTCGTGAGGAATAAAACCGGCAGCTGAAAACCATCAATGCGGTGGTGGTAGTGGGGTTGAATTCCACCGTCGTTTGGAACGCCGAGCCGACAGGGATAGGCGTTATAACCATCGGCCCTACACGACTGTTTATTATACCGGCGGTAGTAAATTCAGCGTGAGTTATTTTCCCATTTTTCAACTACCCACAACACAGTTGCATCACCATTACTTTCCTATGGAGTATGCCTTGTCTTCCCTAATGCTTATATTAACCTCTCCTCTTTGCTTCTCCATCTTCAAGGTTGGCCTATTTAAGCCAGGGCTGGATGAGTTTCTTGGCAATCCACACACTCCTTCCTCCTTAGATACAGATACATATAGACAAAGCTCTTGAGCCAACCAGCTATATTTTCTTCATTGCCATGGCGCCCCTTCTCCAACTCCTCTGGTGGCGGCAGCGGCGTTGGGAGAAGGCCTTCAGGATTGGGTACTACTGGCATCTAGGCACAACAGGGGTTGCTCGATCTAGGTGCTAGTGGAAGTTTTGCAATTAAGGGGGTTCGCTTATTTGGGCAAGCCAAGGGGTACTCAATGCACTTTGGTATCCTTGGTTTGCCCTGTGTATTTCTTGTGCCGATTCACCATCCCGGTGCCCTGGCGATCCTCCTTCCTCTAGAGCAGCAGCGACGACGACAGCAATTCACTTCCCCACCTAGCCGACTCCTCTTCTTTAATGCCTCTATCTCCCTCGCGACCATGAGAGGTGCAGCAACAGGGAAGGGAAAGCACCTATTGGCATTTCTTAGCGCAATCACCAAGTATGGAAGTTTCAAGTCCATTCCCGGTAACAGTGCTAGAAATGCCTGTTGGTATTTCTTAGTACTATCACTAAGATTGAGTGAACCTTAGCGACACCACCAAGAAACACCAACTACGATAGTTCTTAACGATTACAGAAAATATCCGCAAGTGCACAGATCTATCGTTGTAGCATTTCACCCAGAAGTATTCAGGGTATCATTATTTATATTTTCCCAAAGGAGGGCAAGGTGTAAAGAGTCTAGCATGAGCATGAACAAGATTACATACTTACATTAGTAAACCAATAGTTCATGATAGGGGTAAAAACGATATTTCAAGGATAGTGGACACACATCTGGGCCAACCTCAAGGATAAAAGGAAAACAAAGAATAAAAGAATGGTCCTAAGTGGAGCTAGCATGTTCAAAATATAGTTGTGCAAAGAATAGTTGATGATCATACAAATTACATGATTAGAGTTAGATCTAAGCGTAAGATGGATGGGGAGATCCCCGAGCACTGGTTTGCCAGCAAGCCATGGAGACTTTACGAACTCCTACACGATACCCGAATGTGGGGGATTACAACGGACGGACAGGGCTGTCATCACTTGCCGCTTACCCCTCAACCGGGGGGCACCATCATATCCGAAGGTTCATGTGTACCAGAGCACCATGCCTGTGTACAAAGAAACTACCCATATCCCTCCGGGACTCTGACCCTATGGATCAACAAGCATAGGACATGCAAACCCAAAGGAACGACGAACCACCACCTCAACTTATCTCTACTTCTACACATATATGTAATATGCATGATTAAGCATAAAGTTGAATATGTTAAGATCATAATATACAAACTATATGCTAGTTCATATGTCAAGATTATAACATGAAAACTATAGTCTAGTTCATATGCACTACTATAATGATAATATGAGAGCAAGACTTTGGAAGAATTCTTCATAGTATTCATACCAAGATTCCTCTCTTCCAAGGAGCCAAGCTCTCCAAGGTAGCTCTTGCCTAGCTCACAAATGCTACTAAAAGGTAAAAATAGTACAAGTGGAGGTGGAGGTGTAGAGCCCAAATGAAGTGTGTGTTGGAGTGGAGCACTACCCCCTTATTTATACTAGCTTGAGGTCGGTTTAGGGGGAGATAAAATAGGAAACTAGCCTAAAACAACCCCAAGTGTCATCAATGCACCGCCTGTGCAAGGTGGGGCCAGGAGGAGGTGGGGCGGTGGGCCAGCCCTCCTCGGCACCGCCTTCGTGTTGTGGGCTGGTGGCTGGGCCTGGGCCCTTCCACATCGGTGCTCGGCCTAGATTCTTTGTTGAAGTGGGCCTTTGCTTGGTTCTTTGATGTAGTATCTGCATTACGCTTTCTAGATTGCGCATTTTGCTTTGTTTTCCACTTGTATTCAAATGTGTGCCCTACAAAACATATTTTTTCCAATACAAGTGGAACTATGTCAAAAGTAAATGCATATGTGTGAAAAGTTTGTTTATTTCTTTCGTTTTGGATATTAATTGGTGGTCGGATTTAATCGTTAGTGACCACCAACAAATTCCCCAAGCTTGACCTTTGCTCATCCCGAGCAAATAGCTAAGTACTTGGTTATTGATCAGGAGTTGCTACTATACCGAATATATTTCATACGGCCATGCCTATAACAAAGTATTCTTCCGCAATTCAAATAAGTTGGCATTTTTATCCACCCTTTACCTTGGTCCCTGTGAGGCATATAGATTTTCCAAGTTCTTGGGCGGTTGCAAGATAGAACGGTTATAACAGAATCACTAATCATTCATTCTTTGATCAACTATCTATCTGGAGGTTTATGAGTTTTGCAAAAATAAATGTAAGTTCCTCAAATGATTCTCTCGATCGCTCAATGTGTATGAAACTTCACCAAGGCATTTGGTATTTTGCCTTCTTTTTCATATCCTACCACTAAAGGCTTTGAGTGGAGCTTTGGGTCGGTATGAAAGTGGGGCATACTTGCATCACATATTTTGCTAAGTCAAAAACTAGACCTCAAGGAGATGCAAATCATACACTTTGATCAAGACATGCAAGTGTGTGGAATTTTTATAACTTCCTAATTCTAAATATTTTTGGTACTCCTTTGATCATGAATCCCTCTCTTTTAAATGAATGCCTTTTATTTGAAAGTATGGGCTATCTTTCTTTCTTTCTTTTTATTTTCTTTTCTTCATGCTCTTTGGCATGCATTATTTTTTCCTCTCATGCCTTTTGGCATGGACATCTTTTTCTTTTCTTTTTTTAGCATAGCCCATACTATCCTTTTTGGCATATGAAATTTTTTGAGAGAGGGATGCATGACAAAATAAATGGAGTATTATTTTGGTGGACGAAAAAAGCATATTTTTGCGTAACTCTCAGTGTAAGAGTCAGTAGTTTATTTATGGGTGTACATGTGTCTTGATCATGGCTGCATGAGGAGAATCTCAACTAGGGTCACAACAATTTGACAAAGCTCATTGCTCAAATAAGTAGCATATGACTAAGGTTTTGAATGTATATCATGTCATATGCTTGGTAGGTATTCATAATCATTGAGGAACTTTGGATTTTAGCATTTTTGAAAATGAAAACT